TGGCTGGAGAGCATCTTCTAGCTGCTGGGACTGCTTCAGGAGGTAGACGTGGCCTTGGACGTGTGGTTCCTCTTACAGTCAGATCCCAGGGGGTGAGGGTATTGCCGTGCAGTTTGGGGTCGTGTTGGAGACTCTCCTTTTAAGCAGCAGGGCCAGCAGAACTGCAGCTAGACGGCTCCAAAGCAAAAAGGTGAACAGATGGGGTTGAGCCTCTCCAGAAGACTTGAATCACTAAGAGCATCCTGGTGTACGTGAGCCCATGGGGCAGGGTTTAACTCCAGTCCTTTCTGCTGTCGTTTCCAAAAACTGTCTAGAAAGCGACTAGCAGAGATAGTTTCTCCATCTCTGCAAAAAATCTCTCGAGAACTGAGAGTTGAAAACTGGTATGCCAGCTAGGTAGCTGTGGCTGTTGCTTTGAGGTTGATTTGAAACTAATCTTGAGCAGGAAACATGGTTAAAATTATCAGGCTAAAGAAAACACTCTGCAGCATTACTGCCTAGAAGCAGACATGAGAGTCTCTTCTAAAAAGTTCCCTGAAAAGACTGCAGAATCATCACAGCGTGTTCTCTTTTCCCACCCAGCACCTTCGTCTGCCCCACAGAAATTGTGGCTTTCAGCAACAAAGCAAATGAATTTCATGATGCAAACTGTGAAGTGGTGGCAGTTTCTGTGGATTCTCATTTTTGTCATCTGGCCTGGATAAATACGCCACGGAAGGTATGAATTGAGCGGCAGTTTTGGGCTTTCTCTGTTGGTTTGTTTTCTTTTCACAAGCGGTCCTGAGTAGCAGAGTTGAATAAACAATTGTGCAAACACCAATTTCAATAGACTGCCTAAGTATATGCAAATATGCAAAGCGATTCGCTTCTACATTTGATGAATAATTCTGACCTCAGTCTTTGTTTTCTTGCTCTTTTCCTTAATAATTTGGGGTTTTTATTCCATCTTTGTTTTGCTCTTTTGATAGTCTTGTAGGTTACATCATATCCTTACATGTTTATCTTGAAAGACAAATACCCAGTATACATGTCACTGTCCTAAGCTGTTTTTTACAGCTGATGGTTTGTATGGACCATCACAGAAAATGAACAGGAGTTGCTTAGTCATTATTGTTAACTGGTACCTAACAGTGGTGGCTTAAGAATGAAAGCAGAACAACCAGTTTATTGGAGCACTTGTATTATTAACTCTCACCTGCTGAAGTGGTTCTGCTTTTGCACTACAAATGGAAGCCCTCAGCTTTCTTCAGGGAAAGTAAATGGTAAAGACAGCCTTTTACTGGAGAGGAGCCTCTTTCAGTTGTACTTGATCACATAAAGCACCTCACTGGTTTGGTTAGTTGTAGGGAAGCAGAAGTGGCTCAGGAAGGTGCAGAAGCTCCTGTGCCATCGGTCATTACCCACGTGGTTGTGTGGACAGCAGTCTGCAGTACTGCTCACAGACAGCGTGCCTCCAGGTGCAGAGCTCTGCCGTTGTAACATGCAGGGGAGGGAGGAGAGTTTGCTGGATTTAAGATGCCTTGGATGAACCTATTTAGAGTATTTAATTTTCAGCATGCTTTGTTCAAAGCTCTTAAAATGGCCTGACCTCACCACTTCACCAAAAGCTGTTCAGTGTATGGCAGTTGGGCACTGCTCGGTGCACATGTAGCACAATGCCCTGCAAAGGGTGGAAAGAATTCCATGGTGATGCAGACGGGAAACCGACACCCGGAGAAGCTAAGGCCTTGGTTTCTCCGTCATATGCATTCAAAGCTCTGCGTATGACAACTCCGTTGCAGACAAGCATTTGCAGGATCAGGGTCTGAGTGACTGAGATTACACAATGATTCACTGATGATGCCAGGAATAGAAAAGCTAACAAACTCCGGGCTAGTTTCAAGGATAGAGAGCATATCTCTCTTGCAATTCCAATATGCTGTAAAACTGAAAGAAATCTTGGTTGACTCTCCAAATAGTATTTAAATTGATTTGGGTGAGGAAAAAAAAAATACATGCACTGAATAGAGAAAGCAGCAGAACTCTGACATACCTAGGATGGCTGTTATAAGCCTTGTGTTTTGCCTGTTCATAGTACGCAGGTTTGTTTTCTCTTCCCTCCCCACCACGTTCATCTTGTTTAATTTTGAACACTTAAATATGCAGGAGAAATTTTTGTATTCAAAGCCCCTGAATAGGGTACACGGCAAATACTTCTGAAAATGTGTGGCTGTTGTCATAGGTAGCCTTTTTCCCACCAAAATAAGCAATTCTAAAATGCTCAGTGCAAAAGAAGTTTTCATGTTACAAAGAAACGAAATGTTCCTGACTACTTTAAAAAAAAAAAAAAGAAAAACCAAACAAATAACAGCACCTGCATGCACCCCCCCCCCCCGTTCCTTTCATGGAGCAAATGGCATGAATGTGTTTGTTGGTATACCTTCAAGAGCACTGAATCGACTGACTCAAGAAGGATAATCCTAAAAAGTGTTTTGTAACAAAATGAAATGTTGCTTTTTTTCTCTAGAGCGGCGGTTTGGGTAAAATGAATATTCCAGTTCTGTCGGACCTCACAAAACAAATCTCCCGTGATTATGGCGTGCTGCTAGAAGGACCTGGCATAGCACTAAGGTAGCGCATGATTGCCAGTAACTTGGTTATGACACAACCCAATCTAAAACAATGTGAACCATGCTGTCCCCTCCTGCAGGGGAAACTGCATAAGGGTCAAATGAAGACTGCAAGATGTTACTTTTTCTGCAGAATCTCAACTGGATCCCACCCTAGGAAAAGGACACATGGCCGTTATGGCCGTTAAGTTGAGAATAGTTCCAGGCATCTCTGAGAATGCATGCAGGGGAAAGCCAGATAGCCTGTTCTGAGTGAGTGGGAGAACTCTGTGTCACTAGGGAAAAGAAGAGTTGGATAGAAGAGCATTTTGCAATTTTTTACATTTTTTCACAGTTTAGATCTGTCCTTTTTTTTTTTTTTTTTTTTTCTTCTGAAGGGAGAGGAGACTGCCTTAACTTCTGTGTGAGAAGTTTCTAAAGAGGTAGTCCTAGAGGCCAGTATGGTCAATCCCATAATTATCTAGAATAAAAAAAATTGACATTTCCTTCTCCACCCTGGGAATACTTATTAAAAGCAAATAGTGGTCCCTGGGATCCATTGGATTGGGGAGGGGTCTTCTGGAGACCCTCTGTTCCTGATCTCTTTGGATCAGGAACTTCTGACATTTGTTGACAAGTTAATTAATATGGTAGGACTGGGACTTTGGTTTTAACAAATGTTTATATGCAACAGGATTTAATTTAGTAGCTTAATGCGTAAGCAGCTCTTCCCTCAATACCTTTGGATTTCCATATCAAAAAGACATGCAAAGGATGCCAGCTATCAACTTTGAAATATAGGTGGAATTAGGAGATCTACCTTTGTTATACATCTCTCTCAACTTAATGCATACCTTGTAATTTCACAATACCATACCAGTTGACTGGTTCTTGGCTTTTGATCACTGCACTAACAAACAAAATATCAAACGCTGTATTGCTACTCCTAATTCTGATACGTGCATCTAAGAATAACTGCCTTGCTGAAATAGTTCATCCAGTTTCTTGTGTTTGGTCTTGGAACGTGATTTGCATTCCCTAAATTCTTGCTCAACTACAGAGGTCTCTTCATCATTGATCCAAATGGGATCATCAAGCATCTAAGTATCAATGATCTCCCCGTCGGTCGTAGCGTGGAAGAGACCCTCCGCTTGGTGAAAGCATTCCAGTACGTGGAAACACATGGAGAGGTTTGCCCAGCAAACTGGACTCCAGACTCCCCTACAGTAAGCATCTGCTAAATACCACTTTTCTAAATACAGGCACCAGCATGTTTTTGCATGTCTGAAGGGCTGAGAACCACTTCAATGTGAGGTGCTTGACTGAATCTCTACCTGTTGTATCAATCTGAGGCTTTTATCAGTTGGACCAATGTAGTCTAAATGTGTGATTTCTGTGAAGAAAGTAAGTGGTTTTTCTTTTAGAAGACACAAATTGTATTTAAAACTCTAAATTTGACTTGCACTCTCCACTAGTTGTCTTCAGATTTTTGACTTATTTAATGTCCTGCTTGACATTTAGCAGGAAAAATTCGTTATATACCTAAAATGTGCAAGTTGGAGCTTGTACAACATTTAGGCTTTCACCTTTCAACCAAGTGCAGAAACAGAAATGACCTATTGTTTTCATAAAGTATGCATAGATTTTCTTGGATAAAGTGTCAAATCTGTAACTTTTTTATCTTGATTATAGCATATAATAACTAAACTTTTTTTTCTTGACAGATCAAACCAAGCCCAGAAGCTTCTAAAGAATATTTTGAGAAAGTGCATACATAAACACTGAAATATGTGGACAAAACTCTTTAGTTAAGTGACGCTATTAAAAAAGCACCTGTGATTATAAAAAAAAAAAATCAAAGTTCTCATTTTCTGATGCCTACAAAAAAATTAAATGTTGAAATATTTACTGACTCCATTGTCTTGTTTTGAAAAGAATGGTAAAAACTAAGGCTTCACCCCGCCCCTTTTTGCAACTTGTTTCATGAATTTCTGTGACTGCTAGTCTTCTTCCCAAATATGACAAGTACACAAAATACAGTCATATTCCACTGGGTTTTTCCTCCTTCCTTAACTCATTTTGGACCAGAAAGTGTCCTGCATTTTCTTTTCTCACATGAAAAATTAAATTCTGTAACAAGAGTTTGAAACAATGGGGACAATACAGAAAATAGAATTTTGAGACGTGGTTTGGTTTTAATGAATTTTGCAGAGGAAGAGATGAATGTAACAAAATCCTTATTTTTGTGTGTAAATGTGCTATAACTCGAAATGAATGTAAATATGTGCCATTTTAATCCTGCATAGAGTCACAGATGCAGTGCAGCTACATGGGAGCATTAACAAGGATGAAGAACTTGTGTTCTGCTTGGGAGATGGTAAAAATTTGAACCCCAATAGTGTGCTTACTGGAGCTTAATGACAGTCTTCCATCATTTAAAGCATTGCTTATTCACTTGAATCTGCCTCCAGGAAAAACTTAAAGGTGAAATATTGTACTGCTTGAAGACAATGTAGCTTAGCTCTAGCTAGGATAATAAATCTTAACATTGACTAGCAGTGGGTGTGTTGCTTTTTCTTTCACTTTTTCCCCAAAACTTACTGTTTCTCTATTTCTAAGAAGTTGGGTAAGTGGTATTGCGTTAGAAACTATCCTCCATACCTTCGTTCACAGCAAACGGTTAACAGCTGGCACTGCCTGTGTGCGTGGTGAGTAGGCCATCGGCAATAAGCAGTGGGTGTACCGCTGAGGGCTGGATAAAGCCATATAATACTGGATGGTTTCTGTGTTTAATATTACGCCCTTTTGAGCAGAGGGAAGGACCTAAGATAAACAAGCATGAGGGAACCTTGCTTCTTGGCAAAATGGCTGTTGTTTCCTAAGTTAGCTTTATAACAGGTAATGTAAGCTAAAGGGTGAAAGAACAAGCCTGATGTCATGCGGTGCCTGGTGACGCTCCAGGTGTCAGTGCTTGCAAATCTCATGTCAGTCACAGTGTTTTACTTGTTTTGTGTAAATCCACTAGTCACCCACGCATTTTTTCTAATAAACCTGATCTCCTGGACCTGCAATACATGAAGTTAAATCCCTGTGCAGATCAGTAACACAACGTAACATGCCAGCGGTGTTGGTGGCAGCTGCTTGTGCCTGTGAAACCGCGGGGCAGCGGCACACGCATCTTTTACCTGGCTGTGTCTTTCTCTTAGTCATTTTAAGTCAACGCAGGGGATGCGGGGGTTTCTCTCCAGTCCTCCTCGGCTCTGCCTTCCCGGGTGCGCAGGAGGAAACTGATGGAGGAGGAAGAGGCGATCGGACCTTTCCTAACCCCAATCTTCTGCCCGCGCTCCGGGGCCTGCCCTGAGGCGGCTCCCG